GGGGCGGGTGGGTCAGGGGAGCCCCGGGGCTGTGTGTTCAGGGGAGACGTTTGGGTGGCTTTGGGGCCCAGAAGGTGATTTTGGCGTTAGAACGAGCTCAGCTCGTTGCCACGTCCCGCCGGAGCCTCCCCGGGCCAGAGGAGCAGGGGAGCAGGGTGCCCAGGCCCGAACCCGGGCCTGCCGGGGGGGCTTCCAGGCTGTGGTGCCCAGGGAGGGGTCTCGCTGCACTGACTGTTGTGTCTGAGCCATAACCCGCCCCCAGGCTGGTGTGACACAGCCGGGGTTCCCAGGGCAGAGTCCTTCCCCCAGGGGCTGCAGGCAGAGGTGGCTTCGTGCCCCTTGCCCGGCTCTGCCCAGGGCTGGGACTGCAGGTCCCTTCCCGAGGAAGAGGTGGCAGGGGCAGGTGTGGGTGCTGGGACAGGCTTTGGTGTCAGGGCGCCGTTGTTGCAGTGTTCCTGGAGACCTACGGCTGCCAGATGAACGTCAGTGACACCGAGATCGCCTGGGCCATCCTGCGGGAGAGCGGCTACACCAGGACCAGGGAGCTGGAGGAGGTGAGGAGAGGAGCCTGGGCAGCCCCCCTGCGGGCAGGCAGATGCCCTGGGCAGTGCCAGGAGTGCAGTCCTGCAGGGTGCTGGGATTTTTGCAGTCTGAGTTTTGTGGAGTAAAGGAAATCACTTAGCACGGGTGAGAGAGCTGTGGGTTGGTGTTTTCTTTAAACTGCTGGGCTCCCTCTCAGTGGGAAAGGAATTGGACACAGCAGGATGCTCCTGGCTCCTCTTGTCTGAGTTTGCTTTGTTGATGAGTGGAAGACTCCACTTGTCTTCTGTCAGTTTCTTGCACTTTTGTTTGTTAAACCCACCACATACCTGGACAGACCTTCTCCCCTGGGTAGGTGATTTTTACAGTCTCCAGGTGCCCTGTTCAGGGTGTGAGTACTGACTGTTTGCCTATTACAGATTCTTCTTCCTTTGTGTTGTTTTCCATGTAGGCAGATGTGATTCTCCTTGTCACCTGTTCTGTGAGGTAAGGAAACTGTCACTGCTGCTTTTGGATAGTTTTAAAGGAGTTACTATTTGAAAACCAAGGCAACAAACGTGTTATGTGAGGCAAAGGGCCTGCAGATCTGAAACTGCTGTTTAGCTAAGGGTAGAGTTGGCTGATGTACAACATTAATTGTGCCATGAATTGATTTTCTGTGTAGTGAGTTGTTCTTTGGTGGAGTGAACTCTGTGTTTGCCACGGGCAGTCAGAGACACCCACAGATTTGTGCTTTCATGATTTCTGTTTAATATTCTTCTGTCTTCTCTTGAGGCAAGTGTCTCTCTAGTGCAGGGTCTGTACTTCAGAAATGTGGGAAAGACCTTCAGGGGCTGTTTGAGATATCTGGATAGGCTTGTTTGTTCTGAATGCTGATGTGGAATGCTGGTTGTCTCTTGCAAGGCAGCTCACGTTGGCTGGCTATGGCAGAGCTGTGCTCCAGGAGACCTTAGTGCCTGGGCTGTTTCTGCAGTGTGGGTGCTCCCAGGTGGGTGCAGTGGCAGTAGGTAAGACCCAGCCAAGGCAGAGCCCACACAGCACCAACCGCACTCCTACCACCAGCGGATTCATTGGGTGGATGATTCCCTGTCTTCAATTCAATTCACCTCTTAAAGCACCTGGGCTGCTTCATGCTGGGGGGCTGTTAAAGCACAACGATTGGAATAACCACCGTTTTCCTGGCTTCTCCAGGGAGAAGGCAGAGCAGACCATCTGGAATCGCCTGCGGCACCTGAAGGCGCTGAAGGCGCGGAGGCACCGGGGCCGCCCCCCCCTGCGCATCGGGATCCTGGGTAGGGGCACAGCCCGGGGGCAGCACAGGCTGCTGGGACACAGCCCAGTGGGAAGCACAGTTGTGCTACATCCCCTTATGCTGCAGCTCCCTGTCCCACCCCCCCCCCGGTGGCCTCAAGCCTTCTCCTCTGGGCGAAGGCAGCTGGTGGAGGAGTAAGGGGGGTGGGCACTTCCTGACCAGGACCCTTCTCCTTTGTTGGCAGGGTGCATGGCTGAGAGGCTTAAGGAGGAGATCCTGCACAAGGAGAAGCTGGTTGATATCGTGGCAGGCCCTGATGCCTATCGTGACCTGCCCCGGCTGCTGGCTGTGGCCGAGTCTGGCCAGCAGGCTGCCAATGTCCTGCTGTCACTAGATGAGACCTACGCGGACATTCTTCCCGTCCAGACCAGTGCAGGAGGCATCACAGCATTTGTGTGAGTCCCTTGTGTTCCTGTGTGTGTGTCTGTGGCTCTGGCTGGAGTCACTGCTCTGCAGGTCAGGTTTGTCAGTGTCAGCAGCCCCAGAGATGCCAGGCCTGGCTGCACTCAGTTCCCGCAGCCCAGAGGCAGAGAGTGTGTGTGTGTGTCTGTGTGTGTCCTGCTGCCTCACTGTCTGACTGAGCCCTGGGGACACTGCCCCGTGCTCCAGCTGCCTGTGACCTTCCCTGGCTCTCCTTTGGGAATGCTGATTGTCTGATCCTGATGCTGAATCCAGGGATCTCTGTCCCGCTGATGTTTCTGATAGGACAAGGGGTAATGGGTGTAAATTGGAGCATAGGAGGTTCAAGGTGAATATCCGAAAAAATTTTTTTACTGTGAGAGTGACAGAGCACTGGAACAGACTGCCCAGGGAGGTTGTGGAGTCTCCCTCACTGGAGACATTCAAAACCCACCTGGATGAGTTCCTGTGTGATGTACTCTAGGTGACCCTGCTCTGGCAGGGGGGTTGGACTAGATGATCTCTTGAGGTCCCTTCCAGCCCCTAAGATTCTATGATTCTATGATTCTATGATTCTGCCTTTCTAAAGTCTGCCTCTCTCATCCTCTGCCTTCTGCTGTGCCCCACCCGAGTTTCTTCTGTTTGGCTTTTCTAATCCTCCCTGCACCATAATGTCTGTTGGTTTAGTTTCCATTTGTCCCATTTTGATAATCAGATTCCCAAATGGGGAACCAGGCTCTGCTCAGTGTGACCGTAGAGTACCAAGTCCCCCTCTGCAGAAAGAGGGTGCAGGAGGATCTTCCCTCAGTGCCAGATCACAGTGCAAGTCTGTGCCTTGTTAGTTGCTTCCCAATTTTCTTGTAAATGTGCATGGAAAATTAGGAGGTGTAAGCTTTGGGTGAGCAGAAGTTGGCTCTGCCTGGAGGGGGTGCTGAGCTGATGCTGCATGTGCTGCAGGCCCAGGGAGGGGGCCTAGGGCAGCGGTGCTGGGCTAGCTCAGAGCAGGGCAGGATGATGCCTCTGGAACCATCGTGGTGTGACCTGTGTGCACTGCACCTCTGGCAGGTCCATCATGCGGGGCTGTGACAACATGTGCAGCTACTGCATCGTGCCCTTCACCCGCGGCCGAGAGCGGAGCCGCCCCGTCGCCTCCATCCTGCAGGAAGTGCGGGTGCTCTCAGACCAGGTGAGGCTGAGCCACCAGGCTCTGGGGGAAGGGTGGTTCTCAGGACACCTCTGAGCAGTGACATGGCCTTTATCTGTGGTGATGAGGGTCCCACAGGGTCCCACCAGTTACTTTTTTATTCCTCTTGTAACTCTGGGACAGCCAGGGACGGGAGGGCTTCCCCTGGAGACTCCTTGAAGAGAAAGCAGAACCATGGCTGCCCCTGGAGCTTCCCCATCCTGACCAGGTCATATCTTTCCCTCTCTGTTTATTTTTGTAGGGAGTGAAGGAAGTGACCCTTTTGGGTCAGAATGTCAACAGCTTCCGAGACCTGTCGGAGGTGCAGTTCCAGGCAGCCCCTGCCCCCAGCCTCAGCCGGGGCTTCACCACCGTCTACAAGGCCAAGCCCGGGGGTTTGCGCTTCGTGCACCTTCTAGACCAAGTCTCCAGAATTGATCCAGAAATGAGGATCCGTTTCACCTCTCCACACCCCAAGGATTTTCCTGATGAGGCAAGTGTAAAATAAACACCTGGATCTTGGTTTGCAGGCAGGCAGCTCTGAACTGCTCAGCATGGGCTGTGCTTCCTTCACAAAGGGAATGTTGAAGTACAGAATGGGAACAGCAGCTTCTGGGAGGGGAAATGTTTGTGCTAAAGCTGACAGGTTTGCAGATTGCTTTTACCTGGGGAAGACTCTTCCCCTTGGCATCCTGGTCGAGTTGAGCAGTCTGTGATGCTGTCTCCTGGTTGTCCATCACAGGTCCTGCAGCTTATCCATGAGCGACACAACATCTGCAAACAGCTCCACCTCCCAGCCCAGAGTGGGAGCACACGGGTCCTGCAGGCCATGCAGCGAGGGTGAGGGATCACCCTGGGCAGCCCTGTGCTGCACTCTGGTCAGCCTGCTGGCTTCTCTCCACTCATGAGGCGGTTTTCCAGTTCACGAGTCCAGGTGTTGTTCATTGCAGATACACAAGAGAAGCATATATAGAGCTCGTGCACCACGTGCGCAAGTGCATCCCAGGTAGGGGCTGCCTTTGGCTTCCTCCAGCTCAGCACAGCTCTATCCCTGTCCTGTTCTTGAGGGAAGTGTTCCTCTCTTCCTTGAGGGAAGTGTAAAGCTGTCTCTCTGTCACAGGAGTGAGCCTGAGCAGCGATTTCATTGCTGGCTTCTGTGGAGAGACAGAAGAGGATCACCAGCAGACCCTGTCCTTGCTGCGGGAGGTGCGCTACAACGTGGGGTTCCTGTTTGCCTACAGCATGAGACAGGTGAGCAGGGGACCTGGTGGAGAAAGCTCTTACCTCTGTGCCTCTCCCTTAGTTCCTGGGTGCCATTTCTCACAATATGACACTAAAAAGAAAAAAAAAGCTATTGGAAATAATACCTAAGGATGTGGTATATTGGTAGATTTATTTTTTTTTGCTTTCATGCAGCACTTGTAGGGTTTGTGGTTCAAGGGCCACCTTTGTGCCTGAAGGGCTCCCAGCTCCCCTGTGTGAGCACCAGGGTTGATCAGTGATGGGGTGACCTGCTTCTGCAGATGCTCCAGTGTGGTTGCAGTGAAGCAGCCCTGTCTGTGGAGACCTGCCTGCAGATACATTGTTCTGTGGTGATGAGAAATTGTGCTGATGCTGTTGGCTGGAGCCCAGAGACTTTGTCAGTTGAGTCTGGAGGGAAGTGGTGAGTTTTTTAAGGTATTTCCATGAGAAGAGTAGTTAATTGACAAGTCTCTGTTAGAATGCTCCCCATAGTGTAAGAGGCTGGCAGGGAAGAGGACAGAAAGTTGGGAAACATAAGGAAGCAAAGGAATACAGATATGTGGGACTAAAAGAAGCAGAATGCATTGCCTATCCTTGTGGACAGACAGGCAGAGGAGCTGCTCCACACAGCCATGGTGCTCAGAGCATCAAACCTGGTGGTGCAGGAAGAACGTGAGGCAATGGAGGATGTTGCTGGTGCTTTAGCACCTGAAAACCTTCCCTGGGGTTGCAGACACAAGCTGTCATGTGTGAAAAGTTGTTGCTTGGAGAGCAGCTGAGCAGGTGGGGGTCAGGGAGGGTTCTGATCTCAGCCTGAGAGCTGCTGTGTCCTGCAGAAGACCCGGGCGTCCCACCGGCTGCGGGACGACGTGCCGGCGGCGGTGAAGCGGAGGCGGCTGGAGGAGCTGGTCGCTGCCTTCCGGGAGGAGGCTGCCCGAGCCAACGGGGCCATGGTGGGCCAGGCCCAGGTGGTGCTGGTGGAGGGGGTGAGTGCCTGCAGCAGAGTTGTCCCTCCCCCCTCTTGCTGGCCCAGAGGCTCTTAGGCCCTGTGCAGCCATCATCACCTCTGCCTTCCCTGCCCACTTGCCCTGCACGATCCGAGGATGCTGCTTGAGTGCACAGCCTGATTTTTCCAGAGCACTGAGCTGAGCTCAGGGGGATGGGGTGGGTTAGAGACATGTCTCTGAATCAGTGCAGGCTTTGAAAGGTTGGCTTTGGTGTATGGATGTCAGCACGGCAGCTGTGACCAGGGCACCGTGTTGCATGGGATGCTCAACAGCAGGGAATGTTTATTTTAATAGCAGCAATAGTGCTCAGTGAATTCCTGAGGCAGTACAGCCCAGCAGTGGATCAGAGGTGCTGGGATGCAGGCAGTGTTCCCTGTCCTTTCAGCCCAGCAAGCGCTCTGCCTCCGAGCTGTGCGGCAGGAACGATGGGAACATCAAGGTGATCTTCCCTGATGCTGAGATCCCGGACGCTGCGGGCGGCGGGGAGCTGCTCCGCGCCCAGCCAGGGGACTACGTCCTGGTGAAGGTGACTGTCCACAGTTCTTGTTTCCTTGGGCTCTTTTTCTGCCAGGAGAGCCTAAAATTAGAATGGATCCTTCTCAGCCTTTCTGTGCCTGAGGGCTCTTTCTGCTGTTTCTTGCAGGTGACCTCTGCCAGCTCCCAGACCCTGAGGGGGGTCCTGCTGTCCCGTACCACCCTGTCCCGCTCTGCAGCTGCTCACTGAGCTGTCCCTGCTGCCAGGGGGCAAAAGCAGCACGTTTTCTCCAGGAGGTAGCAAGGAAGTTTGGTCATGTAGAGATGGGGTAGAAACAGGGAGATGTATGTATATTGAAATATATATATATGTGTGTGTGTATATATATTAAAAAAAAATAAATTACATTTTTTCCTGTTTTGGCAACAACCTGCCCTCCATGGATCTGTGCAAGTTTGTAGGCAAAAGGGATAGATGCTATGTGTGGCCTGGCCAAACCCAGGTACCTTGTGGTTTTGTGTTTTCCCTGGCTCTGGGGCTCACCCCCCTGCAGTGTTGCTGCCTCTGCTCCCTTCCTCTGGCACAGCCCAACCTGGAATGTTTTCATGCCTGCTAGCTCAGCTGAATTTAAGAACTGCGAAAACTGGTAGTGCCCAGAAAACACAGCCCCAGAACTGCTGGAGAATGGCAGGAGAGCTGCCCAAGGGGATGAGGAACTCAGAGAACACGAGGGGATTGTGGAGATTCTTTCTAGATATTGGTCACCTCCTTATCTGCAAAATGCTTGGAAAGAGCAGGGCAGAATTTGCACCGTGCCTCTGATGGAATGTGGCACCAAACTGTGGCATGTAAAGCGCTGTTAATGTGCAGGAGGGATCCTTAACCTGCTGCATCTGAGGCACAGGGAATGCAGCCTTACCCTGCACCGGGGGTGTCTGGCTCTGTGTGGGAGAGGAAGGGTTTACCTGTCTCCAGGCCTGAGGGGATGCAGGGTGAGGACTGGCTGCCAGCCAAGGGCTCTTTCTAGCCTGTTAAGACTTCAGGTAGAGCTTTGTAATCCAGACAGCTGTGGGTGCCCTTCCCTTTGCTTGCTAGAGGAGAGAAATGGTCATACCCATGTAAATGGCCAATAACTTCTGTAAGTGCATCTCAGTTCCTTGTTCTTACCAGCCTGCAGCTAACCCTGGGCACTCTGTCACACTCCAGCCTGGGATGCCAAATACCTGGAACCTGCACTTGTAAGTAAACTGTCACTGGCTAGAGCCTTTTGCAACAAATTATTTTAATAACATGATAGCTATATTGAAAGGGAAGATTCTTTCCCATATCTCATAAGAGAATTTTTGAAGGAGCAGCTCATCAGCTCAGAATAGAGGAGGCACCACATGGATTTGCAGAATTTTTAAGTAAGCATGAAAGGGTTTTGCTGGAAAGACTTCTCTCCTGCTCAGCTCTTTCTGAGATATAATTGCATCTCTTTGATGGCAACATTGTTCACTGAATATTCATGAGACCATAGTTTAAGAAATAAATACCTTTTGCTTGTTATCTCAGAGCTGCTTCTCTTCTTACAGAAGTGAACCTGCACAATCAGCACTGCCCAGTGTGGTTTCTGAGGTGCCAACACACATGGTGCTGCTCTGCTCTACTGCCTCCATGTGGGACAGGGTCTTGAGCCCAAATTCACACACGAGCTCTTGGACCCCACTGCCTGGTGAGTGTCAGCCTTTCCTCTGGCCCGTGGGGCTTTAAGAAAGAGGCAGCAAGAAGCTTCTTGGGTTTGGAATGCCAAAGGAAGGAGCAGGGTGTATAAACACCATCCCTCAAAGGTAAGAGGCACTGAAGCCAATCTTGCTAATGAAAACCAGCAGGTAATTAGCCCAGATTTACCTGCCCTGCTGAGCTTCTTGCAGAATGTTTTTCCCATGTGCCTTGGAACTGTGGCCTGGAGAAGGACTGAGGCCCACCTTTCCCTGCCCCATTCCATGGGAGGAATGGCAAGCACAGGCCCTCTCCAGCCACGCTGCTCCCAGGCCCGTTGGGGTTGGTTTAGTTGGTATTTTAAGAGGAAGAGACTAATGAGCAGGAGAGCTGGGTTTTCCATTTTGATGAGAAGGTGACAGTGCTCACTGCACAGACTCCCTGAGGAGCCCTTGCCATTTTCCTCGCCTCCTTAGTTTTATAGGCCTCAGGAATGAAGGCACTGAAGCATCCATGAGGAAGTGCTGACAGTGACCTTGGAGGCTGAGCTCGTAATTTGGCACTGCCTGAAAGCCCGAATGCTTTTTCTCTTGGGAGCTGGAGGGGGGATGTGGTTTCTGTATCACTTGTCAGATGATTTGCTCCCTGAATTCTGGTGTTGGGGAAGCTGAACTATCTCATGTCCATTCTGCCTTGTGCCCTGCCCAGCCTCACTTCCAGCACCTCCCTCCTTCCCATTGTCCCAGGGTCCCTTCATGGAACAAACTTTTTTGGTGGGTTCTCATCACCATTGCTGCAGCCAGCTCTGTGGGCATTTAAATGCAATATGAAGAACATTTGTAAATGTCTTCAGTTTCTGAAGTTGGCTGTATCTTTAGTTCATGCTGTACTGGAGCTCCCTGGGGTTGGGTTATGGCAGCTCCTGAAGCTCCTTGGCTGCTGCTGGCCAAGTCCATCCCCCACTTGTGTCCCCCAGACCACCCCACACTGTTTCACAGTGCCTGGGCTCAGTGTTTCTATCGGGATCCTGCCCAGAGCAACCCAGGGGGACCCAGGACCACCCTGCCCACCCCCAGCAGTGGTGCCAATGGAGAACAGCAGTTCTGGCTCATCTGAGGTTGGGAATTCAGCCTGGATCTCACCAGGCTGTCACAGGAACTGCTGCTCTCTGGGGCTTGGAAGTCCTGTGGCTTTTCCTCCTCCCTTGTGAGCAATTTATTTCCTTTACTGACAGCTAACTATTGACTCCTCATTCTCCTGAAGATGAGATGTCCTGTCTCATCAGGTTTAAATTAGTTTTATCTTTAGACTTTCCTATTAATAAGCTCTCATTATGGTGTCATTACTTGATATCTATTTTCTGACGGTTTTCATTAACAGCTCCCAGCTTTTTTTTTTTTTTTTTTTTTCCCCCCCCCCCAGTATTTTTCTTCCTCTGCTGGCTGAGTTATTTAAGAGTCAGGGCTGGGAGGGTGGGCAGATGTGTGTGCTGGGAAGGGCAGTGGGACCTGCTCCCTGCATTCCTCTCATCCCAGGCTGAGCTCTGCCACGCCAGATGCTCTCAAGAGCATGAGTCAATAGAGTAATTAAAATGTGAGGCAGAGGTGGTGCAATTCGTTTGGACAGCTGCACTGGGCTCTGCCTGGGAAAAAAGAGGGAGCGTCGTTGTGTGGCACAGGAAGGCTCCGAGTCCCCGCTCGTGTTCCCGCTCCCACACACCCACTTCCATGTGCCCAGAGCCTGCCTGGCAGCAGCTCCAGCTCTTGGGCACTAACCCCAGGACTAAAGGTGCCTCACAGCTCTTAGTTCCCATAAAAGTCCTTCTTCTCACTCAGAAGTCTGGTCGGGGGAACAGGGGCCCATGACCAGGGTCTCTGGTCTTGCTGGGTGAGTCGCTGTCCCCAGGAGTAGGGCTGGCAGGAGCTGCTGCCATGGGGACAGCCAGGGCTGCCTCTGCCTGGTGGGATTTTTCTCTTTGTGCCTCCAGCTGTGTCAAAAGCAAAGCCCATCAGTGTGGAAAACACCCAGATCTCAAGAGCAGGAAAACGTGTTCACTGGGCTTAATTTCTGGGAGTTGGTCACGTGGGGCAGGGCAGGATGCAGGGTTGGGGCAGCCACAGGGAAAGGATTAACAGGAGAAGGGACCTTGTTTCCCCACGTGCCCTTCTGGCATTAATGAGGGGGGCAAAGGTGCTTTGAAAGGCACTCCTGGTATGACACCAGCCCGAGGGACCGTGATGTTTCTGACAGAGCCATCAGGGCATGTTGGGGACACTCCTGCTCTGCAGGGGCAGGCACAGAGAAGGGGTTTGCCCAGCCCCTGCTGCTGGCTCGTCTGCAAAAATTACACAGCAAACTACCCCCAACTGCAGAGCAGTAATGAGCAGCAGTGCCTACAGCTCTGGGTTTAGGCTGATTAATATTCAGAGCACTGCTGTGAAAATGAGAAGCCAGACAATTGTCCTCCTCCCCTTTCTGCATCCATGAAGATGCCAAGGGCAGTGGCTGAGGCACAGAAACAAAAACAAGATTTGCTTTTGGTCAAGCTGATGCAGGGCTTTTGAACCTAAACAAGATGCTGTGTTCTCTTTGTGTTATTCAGCCTCCTCTTTTAACCTGTTTCTTCTTTTTGTGTTTAATGTCATCCTTCTGCTATATAATTACAGGAAGTTTCCTTTGAAGCTGTCAGAACAAACAGCAGGCACCTCAGGAAACTGTTTCTCTTTCAAAAACTAGAGGAAGCACTCTGACATTTTAAAAACAGAGTCTTCCCATCATTTCTTGATCAAAACTATATTTTGAAAAGCCCTTTTACTGTTGGTGGGTTAAAACTTTCCCCCTCCCATGCCCAGAAGAAAGCAGGGCACAGGCCTGCTGGAGCTTCAGTACCTGCAGCAGAGACCCAGGATCCTTGGGGCACAGGGAAGATGCTCCTGGGCCTAGGGGACAAACCAAACCCCCATGTCTGGATAACACCTCAGTGCTTGTCCTCCCCCTTCCCAGGTGCCTGTCCCTGAATTACAAGTTTCTTTCTGTCCTCCCACAGCTCTTTCCTTGGGTGGAAAACCCTGGAAGACACTGGGATGGGGGGGGGGTCCTCTGGAACACCAGGACACGTTTTGATGGGGGGAGCAGCCAGGAAAGCATCACAGCCAGGAGTGAGCTCCTCCTGCCCCTGAGCTCACCTCCCATTGCCACCTGCCCAGCCGGGGGTCCTGGGTGTCCTGGCCCCAGCCCGGGGGCTGCCCCTGCAGGCACCAGGGATGTGTTTGTTCATGTCAAACAACTCCCAGCTCGTTGGCAACAAGCAGGGAGCAGGAACAGAGAATAAAGGAACCAGCAGCTCAGGGACAAGGGCAGAATAAATCTGCATAAATACAAATGAGGGGAATATTTATTTCTCACATTGACCCCATTTATGTAGCTACTGTAAATTGCAGAAGAGACACGGGCCTGGCAGGGCTGAGGCTCAGCTGTGGGGCTGCAGCTCCTCGTGGGTCTCCACCTTTCCAGCAGAATCTTCTGCTAAATATTCTTTGCATGTGAGT